TGCAAAAAACGGATCTTCGCACGGGCAGCCCGTGCGTTGGCCAATTTTTAACGAAATTTTCTCTGTCCAAGTATCACGTAATTGCACAATTAACTTCCTGGATTTCGATGTCCAGTACGTCACAAATTCGAGAGGCTGGGATTCCAAGTTATTTTACTGCATACAGCATGAAATATTACAAAAACGCATGATCGCGCCAGGCGGGTCCATGCATTCATGCGCTTTTGTAGTATTTCGTGCTGCAATAAGATCTATTGGGGTCCAGTATCTAGGATTTGTAGCATACTGATCCTCGACATTCAGGAGGTTAATTGTGCAACTACGTGACACTTGGTCGAGGAAAATCCCCTTAAAACTTCAGTTTCTTACCTTTTGTGGTTCCCGAGTTAGCAATTTTCCCACCAAAAATTCTCGCGGGGCCGCACGTGAGAACCACGCACACCTGGAGGCTAAATTTAAATTCTTTATGTTGTACGTGGGTTGGGGACATTCCTCAAAATTTTAGTCTTCCAGTTTCCTGGTCCCCAAGTTAGCGATTTTCCCACCGAAAAATTTAACGGAACCGTACAAGGGAAATACGCAAACCCAGGTGCTGAATCTGAATCTTTGAGTGTCACGTGGACGGGAGACATAACCTTAAAATTCCAGCTTCCCAGCTTTTCTGGTCCTTGAGTTAGTGATTTTCTTGCCAAAAATTTTCACAGGTCCGTACGTCAGCACCACGCGCAACTGGGGGCTGAGTTTGAAATGTTCAAGTTTGTAAGCGGGCTGAGGACATCCCCTGGAAACTTCAGCCTTCCAGCTTTTCTGGTTCCTGAGTTAACGGCTTTCCTGCCAAAACTTTCAAGTGGTCGCACGCGAGGCCCAGGTGTGTGTGGGGGTGGGTACTGCGGTACTGGACTGGCACTTGGCCAGGAGCCGCTGACGAAACTTTGGAGCCTGAGCTTGCTTCGTTGCCGACTTGAAATACCCAGACAGACGCATACATACACGCGCATATACGCACAAACATACACACACAACCCACAATATGCGTTCCCGCAATAGCATATATGCAAAAACGCATAAAAATAGAAAATTTAGAAACTTATAGAATTTGAAAGATTTGAATTGAATTTGGCGCAGTTTTACGGGTAGGAAAACTGCTAACTTGGTGACCACATAGGCCAGAAAGCTGGAATTTTAAGCGAATGCCCCCTATCCAAATACAACTTAAAAATCTCAAATTTAACCAACAGGTAGGTGTTGTTCTCTCGTAAAAGTTTTGGCGGGAAAACTGCTCACTAAGCAGCTTGGTCATTTTCAATAAACAACCGTTCAGTGGAAACTGTTCATGTATCTGCCGAGTAATTTAATACTGTCGGTAATCTTCATTGTCGTTTATCAGTATCTCCTCATGGAATCAACAAAATCAACTTAGCTAAGAAATTAATTTTTCCAACACATTAATCAATTTAACAAACAGTATTGTTATTACAACTCTTTTCCACAAAATTTTTTACTACTACCATTCATTACACAATTAACTTAGTCTTAGTATCTCCTAACTCTGATCACCACAATCGTCGTATTGATGAGATCCAACTGTAGTAATGTTAAGAAATGTATGACTTAATGGACCGAAACATTTCTTACCATTAAAATAATTCTATTAATCTACAAAATTTGTAATTCTGTTCTCTTACCTTCTCTTTGTTCTTCTCTTCTCATCCGATGTTAATATAGCTTCCTATCAATATACCTTCTTATTACGATGATTTACGCTAATAAGCACATAAGCTAAGTGTAAGGCAACAATCATTCATACAGTTAACGAAGTGACTGCTTCAAATTAGTGCAAAAAAGCATGATCTCATCAGTAAGCCTGCTAACGTTCCTGCCTCGGTTTCAACCTTCACCACCCTTCAGCCCATCATGCCTGACCCGTGAACAATATCAAATGACTGCCAGTACCAGTGCAATACGCAAATCAACATGACATTCACAAAATTTTAGTGACAAATAGAAAAAACGTTCAGGAGATTTCAACGACACTGAAAAACAGGAAAGCAATGATAAAGAGCCCGGTAAAAGACAGAAGTTCATTAGTTCAGTGGCACACCTGGCTCCGCTGCTACGAACAAAGTATTTGTGCAACAAAGGGGCGAAATTTAAAAAAAAAGAGTTAAGAGAAAGCTGCGAAAAAGCAAAG